TTATTATAATCCGTCAATATATCTCTCTCATTTATCAATTCAATACGTCACAAACCAAGTTTCATCTTTAACCAACCGCCGCTTTACAACTAGAAGACTCGTGTCCAAATATCTCTTTGTCTGTGTGTTTCTCTGTCTTCCTGCAGCCCCCAACAGAAATATGACCCATTAGCAAAAACGTGTTGTAGTTTAGTACCGTAACCCAAAACGTGTCCTAATCTCGTGCCATAAACTACAACTCCCATGTTTTGTAGTGTAGTGTCATAAAATTAAACGCATGCGCAAATGCATCCAATGATACGATTCTCAAACAATAGAACGATAGCATTACGCTACAGCTTCACTATTTTATACCTTATACTCACACAATTACACATAACAGAGCTCACATTTGCGTAGAACTTTGAATTCTACACACACACAAACAAGTTTAAGAGGCTTATCCTATCGCAATAGGACCTCTAAGGATACGTTAGCATGTAGCACGCAACACAATTAGCATTTAGCATTAGCCGCTATGTATAATGTAGCATGACCCACACTCCAGCATTTAGCATTAACATTAGCCTTAGCCTTTAGCTAACTGCGGCCTACCACACACATAAGCATCCTGCACTGCCCATTTTCTTTTTAACATATTTTCCTACCATTTTGTGCTACCGTGGATTAATGACCATTTCACCGAGAAATTAGACCCAATCAAACCCCCCGTCGGACGAAAGTCGAACCATAATCACAATCAGATAAACCCCATCAAACCGAGTTTTCTTTAAAACCCACCGACTGCACATTCTATCGTGCAAGCGGATTTGTCGGCCCATTATCTAAAATGGCCCCCCTGGGGTCTTTAAGCGGTACAGTGCCCTAATGAATGCGCATATCTGCCTTAATTGTACACCTTCAATACTTAATTCCTACCGTTTTATGCTCTTAAATTCCAATTATCTGCCGTTTCCAATGGAATAACATTTTAGGCAGCCTCCTAGTCGACAGCAATAACGCCACATGAGGCACATTTCTGGTACACCCCTCCAGTGTACACACGCAGTATCCAAACCAAGCTGTGAGGAACACTCACCCTTGTCCGGTCATGACTTCAGACCGAGTTAGCTTGAGTTAGCCTGGCGGCTACGAATGAGCAAAGGAGAGATGCAGACCAGCCCCATGTTGGGCGCCATTTGTCGTATCGGGTGAATGCTGGCAATTATTGCTGTCAATCAAGGAGTCCGCTTAGGCTGCACCGTGTTAGAGGCTTTTATTAAAATCACGAGGTTACAGCATAAGTTACAGACCCGCGGTGTCTGGAGGAGCACCGTCCAAAATAATCTGAATGCTCCTGACCCTTCTTCATTTTTCCCCCAGTATATATAAACTCCCCAAGATGTGGGTGGCTCCCTCTACTGTCCAATCCCCTGTCTACAACACACTTCCTGTCTGTTGTATGTGGCGTTACACTAAAACATTCCCTCTTGATACTAAAATTAACGTCCTCTCTGGTTCCTCTTAAAACATTAACAACGTCATAATCTCAATACACGACATAACACAGTATGGAAGTTAGGGACTGGAAGAATGAATGATGAATTGAATCAGTTATGATGGCATTAAGAGTGGAGGAGCTTCAGGCATGGATGGTCATGGAGGAGGGAGCCGGTCAGAGTCAGTGAGACAGTCAGGTCTGCAGCCTCAGCAGCGCACCTCGCTGTCCTGTCCCCAACGTCCTTGCTCCGGGTTTAGTAGCTTAATGGTTAGCTAACTAGCTAGCTACTCCTCTCCACTAACTTAATTATTACCCAGAAATGATTTGATATTGACTTAAAAACATCTGCATTGGAACTTTAACAGTAAAGAGAGTATCTTCACTAGTACAAGCCATGTTCGTATGCAGTTAGCTACTTTTTTTCGCTACTTTTCATCAAGCTGGTGTTGGAGCATTCAAACCCAAACAGTCCATAGCTCGCTGCTAGCTAGCTAAGTCAAATAAGACATCAGTCTTGAATCTTGGTCAAGATGACCAATTACAACAAATTCAAAAGAGCAATCAAAAAATAAATAGCTGATGTAAAAATGTTAATACAAAAAAAATACTTTAATATGAATAAAGGTACAAAATGAAAGGGCGCTATCAGCCATGGCTATCAGTATGGCTACCAGTGTGGGTTCCCTCAGCACAAACTGAAGACAGTGAATGGATTTCTGTGTAGGTTTGTTGTTGATGCAACACAATTCCTTTATGTTATGACAAATAACTCAAAGTAGACACAGGCTACTTTAAGTCTTGTACTGTAATATTATCTTCTCAAGTTTTTGAACCTGGCATTTTAAGCCATGTGTTTGACAGCTATTCCGAGAATGTGCTTTAGTTGGTGTTTGTAATGTCCCACCCCCATTTTGGCATAATGTTAGATCTTTTTCTATATTACTTTCCACAACCTCTTGTGGCTTCATTTCTGTGAGAGTTGGAGGGTGTTTGATGCCATTTTTTTATTTAACCTTTATTTAACTAGGCAAGTCAATTAAGAACAAATTCTTATTTACAATGACGGCCTACACCGGCCAAACCCGGACGACGCTGGGCCAATTGTCCGCCACCCTATGGGACTCCCAATCACGGCCGGTTGTGATACAGCCTGGAATCGAACCAGGGGGTCTGTAGTGACGCCGCTGGCACTGAGATGCAGTGCCTTAGACCGCTGCGCCACTCGGGAGCCCTCATGTGGTATGTTGATGAATTGTAAACCAGGAAATAAGCTCATGATTAAAGACACACTTCTATGTCACTCTTACCAACGATCATCAGGACCGTTTTTACAAATGATGGATTGAGACCCACAGGTGGATTGGGACAGTTCAATATGATTGTATCTATTTGGTGGGTTATTAATGTCAAACGGCTTTAGGAGGTGGATCACAAACTTGAATTTAGCTTGTGATCCACATTTAGGAAGGGATCCCACAGTCCAACACTCTCGTATTGCACCGTGTGATGTAGCTTATTGCAGATTACACAAACGAATTGTACTCTCAAGGGCAAGGGGGCTGAATCCCCAGGACATATGTCACTCACATGGTCCTGAAATCATTGATATCACTGTCGGTATAATGGTTTGTTACTTGTTATAAGCATGCATGAGCCTTTAGAGTGACTTATAAGGCTTACAATGTATTATGTCTCTCTATGTAGGGAATTTTGAGATCACCATGAGATGATAACACCTTATAAGGGGCAATAAGGTGTCAAATACTGTACTAAAAATGAAAAGACTCAAGTGCGTCTCAACTACATGTCCCATTATGCACATCGAAGGGGGCGTAGTCGCTGTACATTTTTTGGCGAAATCCTGCAGGCAGTGAGGATGAAGAGCTCTGAATCAGCAGATTAAAGACCTTTAATTCATTATTTTGTAAACGCAGCCTAAGGTCTGGGGCATTGGTGCATATAAACAGAAAAGTATGGATTATGTAAATTATGCAGAAAATAAAGTAGTCTAGGAGTTAAGAGCCCTTGAGCAAGGCACTTAACCCTAATTTCTCCTGTAAATCGCTCTGGATAAGAGCTTCTGCTAAATGACAAAAATGTAATGTAATAGCACTTTTTTTTATGTCCTCCATAAAGAAATTATCCAATGAGTAAATATTAGGTAAATGATGCATCATATTACTGTATATTCTGTAATTTTCCCAAAATGTGTTACAGAAATAATTTATCTCAAAGCTGTTTCTCTGTAGGATTTAGTGGGCATCATCTCAAGGGAATGGAATGGCGCTGCTAACGTTTGAATCATAGGACCATCTCAATCACACTGGTGCCTGAGGTTTCCTCTGAAAGAAGGGGAAAGATGAGTTCTGTCCTCTACATGTACGTGCTTATGGTTCTATTCATGCATTTTAGGGCAGGGTTTCCCAAACTCGGTCCTGGAGCCCCCCCTGGGTGCACGTTTCGGTTTGTGCCATTGCACTACACAGCTAATTCAAATAATCATCAAGCTTTGATTATTTGAATCAGCTGTGTAGTGCTAGGGCAAAAAAATAAAACATGCAACTCTGTTTTAGGGAACATCTGTATTGTGTTACGTACAACACGTTTTAACCATATATTTTATACATGTAGTAACCTTGCTAAACCAGGCATGTATTGACATGAAAAGGCAAAATACTCATACCTTCCCATTGGATTGAACTGGGTAGCGAACACATTTGAACTGCCTGACAACGTTTGCAAACCCATCTTTAGTGTATTTGCCAAGGTACCTAATTATAAAATACTTATTAGGCATTAATATATGCTTGGTTTAGCGTGGCTATCTAGATAACGTTGTCAGTGTAGTACTCTTGCATGTTGTGAGTTATATTTTCTGGTCTTCAAGCTATGATTATTTGCACCTCTATCATTCCAGTGTGAATACTAATTGTAATTATTTTGCACTATGGCCTATTTATTGCCTTACCTCCATAACTTGCTACATTTGAACACTGTATAAATATTTTCTGTTGTATTTTTGACTTTGTTTTGTTTTACCCCAACTCTGTGTTGTTTTTAAACGCACTGCTTTGCTTTATCTTGGCCAGGTCGCAGTTGTAAATGAGAACTTGTTCTCAACTGGCTTACCTGGTTAAATAAAGGTGAAATAAAATAAATAAATAAAATAAATGATTAAAATGGGGAACATCATTAATTTCAGTCCCAGTCCTACCTATGCAAGGAAGATAGCTAATGATTAAAGTGTGAATATCTATAGCATGTATATAAAATTACATTGTTGCCAGACACTTGTGTATGAACATTGCACTGCAATGCTGATAGACTGGGTGCATTCTCTCGGATAGACCATTGGGTACATAGAACAGGGCTTCATTAACCTTCTGAGTTTGACAGTATTGGGTGCACATCAAATAATGTTGTATAATTTACTTACCAATATTAGCACTCCTACAAGCTTCACATGCCTATGAATGGAATGAAATTCACATGAACACACAAACAATGAACACATCAATGCAGCAGCTAGTTACAAGTTAGTACTCAGATTTATTAGAACAGCAATGGAGATTTGTGATACATGTAATTTACAAATGGACACTATCTCATGGTTGGAAAGGTGTCTTTAGAGTGCTGGGTTGGTCATGCTTTTGATTTCACAACTGTCTCCAGAGCTTTAGCCACTTGGTCAGCGTTCATATTGTCAAGGGCCACACTGCTCTCCTTACCAAAATCTGCAAAAAAAAAAGGTACATTTGAAAGAACCAAATGAATACATGGCCATAAACATTGCAGTTGAATTGGCATACAGTTAAAACATGTCAATCACCATATCTAGCCCAAAGTTTAGGCTGAACACCCGAGCACTCCCTGATGAGGATGGGGAATGTGGGGTTTGCCTTCTTCAGTTCCACATAGTGCTGCTCCACAAAATCCCTGAAGAACATGGAATAACAGTGAAATAGTTATTTCACCATTTCATAATACTATTTACTATCCACATACTATTCCATAGTAGTGAAATAGCTAGCTATTAAACAAGGGAGCCAATTATCTCACTGGTAACGGGCAAAGAGCAATGTAGCTGACTGATTAAGCAGCAACTTCTAGATGCATACTGTTGAATGAATATCACGATAAATCATAGAAAATATGTTGTAGAGCTGTAACTAGTTAGATAAGTGCGTGATCTGCAAATGATTTCAGTTGAGCTGATTGCAATTGTTTGCCAACTCTTTACGTGTAACGTTAACGCCTGTCTGGCAGTCCAGTAGCTTGGGCTAGTTATATGATGGTTGCTGTGACCGCTGGCGAAGTACCTAGCTATGATGATAATGCTAACATTGGTTAACACATTTCGATTCCATCAAATCACATTTGAGAAATTACCTTGCTCCTTGGCTCGCAGGCGATGTCTGGCACAAATGTAGACGAATCTCTCGAAGGTTTTTAGCAAGGTTAGAGCCAATACCTCTTACTACGGCAGCGGCCATGATGGTTCTTCTGCTTTGGGTGAATATTCCCTGAAGCCGCCCACTCTGCATATCAACAAATCACTTCAAAGAAGCGTTGTAATTCCAACCAATTACTTTACACGTTAAGGATTAACGTAAAATTCAGGCCAAGAAGAAAATCAAGACTATACCAATCGATGAAGATTGGCACAAATCGAGCAGCAATTGACTGTTGATTTAACGGATTGTCATTTCTGTGATCAATAATTCAGCTAGCAGCGATTATAAATTTAACTACATGCTAACTCTTATGTATTAGTTGATCACAAACTCGGTGTTTTACTTGAGAGTGAGATCAATTTATTTCAAAATGGCCGAACAAGAACGAGGAGCACGAGAAAGTAGCTAAATTACATTTATTTTTGATTTGTTTGAGTTAACGTTATACCAAAGATGTTGTAGTACTCCTGAGTGGCGCAGTGGTCTAAGGCACTGCATCGCAGTGCTAACTGTGCCACTAGAGATCCTGGTTCGAATCCATCCCGGCCGCGACCCGGAGACTCATGAGCGGCGCACAATTGGCCAAGCGTCGTCCAGGGTAGGGGAGGGAATGGCCGGCAGGGATGTAGCTCAGTTGATAGAGCATGGCGTTTGCAACGCCAGGGTTGTGGGTTCGATTCCCACGGGGGGCCAGTATAAAAAAAATATGTAGTCGCTCTGGATAAGAGCGTCTGCTAAATGACTAAAATGTTGTCATTGTTCTATCTGAGGTTATACTTTAGCCTAGGCGCTAGTTAGCTAACCATCTTACCTACTACTAGCGTTAGTAGCTAACGTCCCTGATTTTTTTGTTGTCATTTAGCAGACGCTCTTATCCAGAGCGACTTACAGTTAGTGAGTGCATACATTTCTTTTTTCATACTAGCCCCCCGTGGGAAACGAACCCACAACCCTGGCGTTGCAAGCGCCATGCTCTACTACAAGGGACTATGTTGTGTATACACGTTGAATTACTCATGCAATGTTCACTGCATATATTTGGATTCACATTTCCTGGCTCAAAACACAGTTGCTTTGAATGTTGAAAATCATCGCTAGTGTGGATAACATGATCCAACTTTCAAAACGAGTCCTTTTTGGCTAGACACTGCAGTCAAAATGTGTGAACAATTAACAAGCTAATTAACTACAACGTGTTCTTGTCACATGGAAATATGGCCTTGTGGGAACCCTAACGTTATAAAGGTTCTAGTAATTATCCTTCTGTTTTTTAAAAAGTATTTATCGCTGATATGAAAAATTATGTCCTTGTGTTTCCAAAACTACCGCAAGCGATGCGTGTTAATGTTCAGACCCTGCCAATGTGTAATTATTGTTACAGACGCACAGGGGTAATTTTGGCTCCAGCGGGTAGTATTTGAGGCAAAGTCAAACCTGAAACTGCATTCGCCTCTCCCTGAGAATGTCTTTATATAACAGAATCTATCCATAATTGTTTTATTACCGGTACTATGGTAAAAACGCTTTCTCTAACCTGTAGTGGACTTGTGATATGTTTGTGTTTCTTCTGACCAGAGGGAGCAGGCGCTCGGTGTAACGCAACTTGAGTCAAGATCTGTTTCTTGCTTTGGTCATAGGAACAGGGCACCATTGAAAGTGGTGATTTCTGGGTAGCGTTAAATGTGGAGGTGGAGCTATTAAAGTTGAAAATTCCTGGTCTTTTTGACGCCTGCCGTTTGGTGCGATGCAGACCCGGTGGGGAACGTGGAGAAACAGAGGAGTCATTGTCAGTCCGTTTGAGTTTTGAGTCAGAGTCTGTACCAGACAAAGGCATGTTAGGATATATCAGTTATTTTGATAGAGCTTTTGTGCAGAATCCACTGCGCTGTTTTAGGTGCAACGTTTATGGTCATGTTGCCAGTGGTGGAAAAAGTACCCTATTGTCATACTTGAGTAAAAGTAAGGATACCTTAATAGAAATGACTAAAGTAAAAGTGAAAGTCACCCAGGAAAATACTACTGGAGTAAAAGTCTAAAAGTATTTGGTTTTAAATATACTTAAGTATTACAAGTAAATGTAATTGCTAAAATATACTTAAGTATAAAAAGTAAAAGTAGGAGTCATTCAAATTCTTTACATTAAGCAAACCAGACGGCACCATTTTCTTGTTTTTAAAATTCACGGATATCCGGGGGCTATCTCCAACAATCAGGCATCATTTACAAAAAAAACAAAACAACGTGTGATTAGTGAGTCTGCCAGATCAGAGACAGTAGGGATGACCACTTGATAAGTGTGTGAATTAGACAATTTCCTCTCCTACTAAGCATTCATTTACATTTTAGTCATTTAGCAGATGCTCTTATCCAGAGCAACTAGGGTTAAGTGCTTTACTCAAAGGCACATTGACAGACTTTTCACCTATTTGGTTCAGGGATTCAAACCAGCAACCTTTTGGTTACTGGCCCACCATGCTTAACCACTAAGCTACCTGCCATCTCATTCAAAATGTAACGAGTACTTTTGGGTGTCAGGGAAAATATATGGAGTAAAAAGTACATTATTTTCTTTAGGAATGTGGTGAAGTAAAAGTTGTCAAAAATATAAATAGTAAAGTACAGATACTCTAAAAATAACACTTAAGTAGTACTTTCAAGTATTTTTACTTAAGTACTTTACACCACTGCATGTTGCAGCATTGTGTAGGAGGGAGATTCCAAGATGTGGGGGAAGTGTGCATGGGACAGAGAATTGTGTAGTTTCGGTGGATAAAGTTGTATGTATCAACTGTAGGGGTGCTCATGTTGCTGGGGATCGGACGTGTCCAGTGCGAGAGTGGCCAGTTGAAGTGGCCAGAGTCAGACTAATGCAGACAGAGGGTGTCATATGCTGAGGCAGTGAAGACAGTGGAGGAGAATGGGTCAAGGGTGCATCCTGCAAGGATCCCAGTGAGTAGTAGATTATGCTTCATTATGGTTGGCTTCATAGTGTTCATAGCAATGGTTATCAACTGTACCGCAGAAATAGAACGTAAATCACAGAGAATATATGTTGTGGTGGCAGCTGCAGAGAAGTATTTGGGTATACAAGATTTGACTTCAGAAGAGTTACAGGGTGTGTTGAGGGGTGGCCTCCCAGGCCGTTGGCATGGTGCAGGAGCAGATAGGGTCAAAGTAGTGAAATGGGGTAGTGGGTTTTTAATGAGTGTAGGTGGCAGCTGCAGAGAAGTACATGGGTGTATGAGATTTTACTGCAGAAGAGTTAATGGGTGATGATTTGTATTTTTATGAAATAGTGGTATATAGGTGTAGGGTTAGTTGGTGGTGCAAGTTGTTCCTTTTAGGAACAGGACTAATGAAGATAATTTAATGTAGGTAGGCCGTGACTGACCTCACACTTTAGTACAGTAGGTGGCGGTGTATGCACCTTTAAGTTGGATGCGATCCGCCAACCCAATCCCAAAGAAGAAGAAGTTGACATTGCCTGCCAGTTCTTTGGCATGTCCAACAGCTATGCTGAGTGCTACCCAGCCACGTGAGTCCTCTGATTAATCCTTGTCACCCACAGTACATTTCATATACTACAGTACTCAATTTGATTCAGTGGGTGTACCTGTTTGATTTGAGCGTTCTCTCTCTTTTTTTTTCTCTCTCTTGCTCTCTGCTCAGTATGGACGACCTGGCTGTGGACAGTGGACTACAGTTAGATGGACCAGGTGGGTGCTTTGGATCTGAAGTCTCCTCTTAGCTAGACCTATGTTGTTGTTTGTTGTGGTTGATATGCTTTTGACCTCAGTTTTGCTGTCTGTCCTTCTCTATAGGGTAAGAAGAAGGGTCCTCTGGTTTTCTGGGATTTTGACAGTCAGGACGAATACAGTGAATACATTAAACAACAAGGAGTCTCTTCCAAAGTACGTAATCTTAGAGCTTTATCTCAACAATAAACCTGGAATCCCTCGTTCCAGGCCTTTATTTCATCACAGCCTATATAATAATATTAACATAATTGGATTCCTTTGCCATTTCTATGAAATGCTTTTAATCAGGCCATTTAATATTAATTGCTGAAAAACTGTGTTTGTCCTCTCAGGGTTGCTTTCCATTATGGCATTAAGATATCTGAGGGGAGGAAGACTCGTCACTTCAAGGAGACCTATGAGTAGGCAGAGCTGGACAGGCAGGGGAAGAAGATCAGTGCTGTGAGTGGATCGTTTAATGGCTCCGTTAACAGGGTTGTGACAGTGTTGTCAGGGAGGGTATAAAGAGGTTGTGACTTATTAATCGTGTGCTTTGTCCCTCACAGATCATCGAGAAGAGGAAGAAGGCTGAGGCAGATGGGTGAGTACATTTCCTTCATTCTGTTTTTCATCCTACAGTTAGTGTATGTGACTGAGAGCAGGCAGAAAGACCGGACGATGATGCGAAGATGGCGGTGTTAGCTGAGAGACTGTCAGAGCTGCTCAATGTGCTGTACAGGGGTGACCTACTTTCTGCTCACACTCAGAAAGGAGGAGAAAAATCTCTCAAGTTTTAACTGCCTCATCTCCCTACTCCAGAAATACTGCATCATACAAGATGCTGTCTGTATTATTCTCAATTATAAAACGGGTTGTTTGGATCCTGGATGCTGATTGGTTGATAGCAGGGAGTTATTCTCCGCAATCCCCAGGTAATACCTGTTAAAAGTTCTATTTGATATATCAAATGGCCCAGCCAGGCAATTTATAAAAGCCCAGCCAGGCAATTTCTAAACTTCATCTCCCCAGGAAAAAAGCTTGAAGACAATATTTCTCCATGCTACTAGCCTAGCGTTTGGGTTTGTCTAACCTTACTGTCTGTCTCTGACGTGTGCAACATGTTGCAGTTATTTTTTGCGATATCCACCGTTCCATGCTGCCGCCAGATGGCACTATTATTCCTTATGTCGTTTGTCATTCGCATCCTGCATTAAGCTGCATAGATGGTAATATACTCTTGTACCCCGGCAACCGGTTTGTACATAAAACATCCTCCATTCAGGCTGCAAAGGCATCGGTTTCCTTCTTAACTCGATTTAATATAAACAGGGAAAATACAGTGCCTTGAAAAAGTATTTATCCCCCTTGG